GCAGAGCAGAATATCACAAACATTCAACCCATATCAGCTGCCTTTCCAATTCCGTTCCACCTTAGCCCTCTCTTCTTCTCCTGTGTCATTGGAGGACACCAGCTGGGAACTCTGTAGTCTTCTTTTTTCTCTGATTTTTTGGGGGAAGGAAGGGAAGGGCCTCCTCAAATTCCTAAGATGCATCTGAGAAGTTATCACACCTTAGTTATTATACTTAGAAGGATCTCCCAAAGGATCCCCTTATCACCTAAATCAGGGTCCCATGGTCTCTTACCTGCAAACCTTAACATCTGTCCTGCCCATTGGCTCTCTCTTCTTTTACACAGCCACCAGAATTAGGTTTGGCATTTGTGGTATGATATTAATTTAGTGAAACCTCATCTTTCTTGGTCTCTACTTCAAAGTTAGGAGATATTATATGTTATGTTTCTCAGATGTTTTGGTTTTCTTTTTCTGCTTGTGGTCTTCAATTAAAATTTTTTCAGTGATCTTCCTGTCCTCAACGATTGTTGAATTTTCTCTGACTTTAAAGAAGGAGAAAGGAAAGATTTTCTAAAGATGGTGTTGAGTATTTTTGTAAGCACAAGAAGGGCAGCCTCTCTGTTTATGTGTTTATGAGTCTAAGACTGAACAGATCTGACTTCCCAATAATTGTCTGTCTTTCTCAGATTGTATATAAATTGTTGGCTGTTTTTTAAAAACCTATGTAGAGAGAGAAGTAGAACATTTGGGAAGCTTCTGAGATACTCAGACTAAAAATACCTTCAACATCTGGCTCAGAATTTTCTCCCCTGATAGACGGTTTATGGGAATAACCCTTTCTACATTCAATCTATACTAGCCACTAAAAGTTAACTTTTCTATCAGTGCCCTGTGCTTGTTTGTATTTCACCATAGGATAGTGGTTAAGTACACGGGCTTTAGGAATAGATGGCCTAAGTTTAAATCCTAGTTTCTACTGTGTGACTATGGGTGAGCTACTTAACCTTTCTGTGCCTTAGTTTCATCTCCTATAGGATTAGGATACAATTATCAACTATCAACATGGCATATTTTTAAGAATTAAAGGAGATAATCCTTTTTAGGTGTGCACAGTGCTGAGTATATATGAAAGGCCTATTATTATTGCTGTTGTTATGTTATTATTATGGTTAGCTGTGTAAATTCTTTGCATTTCCAACTAAATTGTAGACCTCTTCAAGTCATGTGCTTACATTCTTACTCAAATACAATACAAAATAACACAGAATGTTTGAGGCAAGTCATTCAGAGACATGTGGCATACTCTCTACATACCTTTAAGACATTTATAATTGGTACTCAAACATGAAAAAATACTGACACACTACTGGGTCTTAGATAACATTTTATTTTTCCTTCATTAAATCTAGTTCAGTGTTTTACAAGTAGAAAGTTATCAACAAATGATTACTGAATACATGTAACATTCCAACAAGGCACAATTTTGAATTAAAATATAACCTGAATACCTTATAAATATGTAGTGAAATATGCTGAATATAAAAGACATGTTTACAAAATTTAGTTTTTTTAATATCATTAAAAAAGTTTGTGATGCAGGTAGGACAGCTACCTCCTCCAAATTCCTAGTAAAGTGTCAGTTTTCCGAAAGTACTTAATGGTATTTGGACTAAGGGTATACATATCAAAACACTCACATTATGAGTTAATGCATTTGCAATGGACTTCTGAATGACGTTACATATTGCTTAGAGGGCAAATGAAAAATGCAAAGGAATGAGGAGTTAAGACCTATTGAGTACCCATGGAACACTTAATGGCCTTGCTTCCTTTAACCTCTTAAAAGTCTACCACCCCAGCTAATGCCATTCTAATCAAACAACATAAAAATGTTTCAGGTTAAGGCTCAGAATTATAGAACCATATAATTTGGGGACTGGAAGGAAACATAAAAGATTATCAAGTCCAACTCCTTCATTTTATAGATGAGAAAACTGAGGCCTATAGCATTTTCAATTAGGAGTGTTTTCAAGACAGCAACATTCATGCCTTTTACTTGACTTATTTACTCTAGTTTTATCATTTATCTTCATGCTGTTCAACTCACCACAATTCAAAATACCAGTGTATTCATGATGACATGTGCTTGGATATGGCCCTTTCTGTATGTGTTCTTCTAAAGGACAGTCTTGGTCCTGGAGGATATTTTCCCTTGTGTTATCAATGCCAGGAACTTGTGGTTTTCCTTTGAGTATTTTTTAAGGGAATACTATCATGTAACATTTGGGGCCAGAAAGAAATCTTTATGGTATATATTTTAGATACTTTCTTCTTGGATCATTTTTCCTCTAAGAGAAACACCTTCATTAATATTTCACATAAAATATATTGTTAATTAGTAAATTGTCAAGAAGTGCTAGGTTCTCCCGACAGCTGAAAATTCATTTATTTTCCAATTAAGCTTATTCAAACACATTTTTTAATTTGCTTAAAAATGTGATATATTCAGAACAAGAAAATGAGTTTTTCAATAACTGCAGTAATTAAGGAAGTCCACAATCTATATTTTTAAGATACTTACTAGAGGTAATAGACACTAATCACTTTGACTTAAAGAAATAGGGTTGGTAATAAAACCCTCAAACCATACTTTAACCACTTTGGAGTTATAATTGTCTTTTACATCTATTTATATAAAGCTGTATTTAATACTCAAGCTTAAAAAAATGATTTTGAATTATTTTTTCATTACAGTCTCTGTCTTTAGTGAAATGTAAAGTACAGGAGGAATTGGGGCGCTTGGTAGGATTTGGGTATGGTAGATACTAATAAATTTCAGTCAAATTGTGCTGAAGCAATGCGCGGTATCAACTAATATTTTTACAAAGACTTTACAATACTGGGAAAAAAAGAAAAAAGAGAGTACAAACGAGACGGGCAGAAAGAGACTCCCCCTCCCCCCAACCCCCCTCCGCGGGAGGATCGCGCCCTCTTGGAGTAGCAGGTTCCTGCATGTGCCAGGAATCTGGTTCCGACGAAGCGAGGCGCTCTGCAACGCCAGGGCGCTCCAAGCTGGGGACTGCTGGCTGCTTGGAACCTGCAAACACCTGGCGTGGTTCTTGGGGGCCCTAGAGACTGCTGCTCGAATTGGTCGGCTCTGGGGCTAAAGGCTCTGAGCGGTCGGAAGGGTTTCCTGTGTGTCAGCAACTTCACTTTGCCTCGATAGCTGGCGGAAAAGCGAAAGGGCACTCACGGGCCAATCGCTCGCCCGCAGCCACCTCTGATCACACGCACCGCTAGCCCTCGTCGAGCGCACCCAGCCCCGGCGCAGACCCGCTCCCCAGAAGACGCCGCCGGCTCCCCGCGGCGCCCCGGAGAGCG